AAAGGAAATTTAGAGTCCCACAATTTGAAATATCTTACTTCAGTGATCAGAATGCGTAATGGATTAGTGGAAAATTCATTGATTTGAATTATGACACAAATAAATTTATTTAGTCATTTGTTGGTCAACCTAGCTACTACATTGAAAGTTATATCTTCTGCAGATAATGTATGTAGTATATCTTTATGGGTATGTTTTATAAAATGATTATATTCATGAGTCTAGAGGAATGAATGATTCTACATATATGACTCGAAAATACTCGAAAGTCGCCCAATTAGATAAATTATTGTGATTTTGAGATACATGACCTCTTGAATGCTAAAATCTGAAATGACCCTCGCAATTCTCTTGTAAAGATGCATGTGTTACCATAAGGTCATTTGTGAAACCCATATAATAGGATTAATAATGGGCACTTACACCTATTTGCATGAAAGTAGTGGGACTGCACTAAATTGATCAATACAATTAAGTTATCATGAATAGCATTAAAGTGGTGCTTAAGTGTAGTGGTTTAATTGGTTTTCCAATTACACACGATAAAATGTCAAAGTCATTATTGTTGATCATGTGGAAAGGAGTATGTCATTATTATTTACATGCAGATTATTTCCATTAACAACAATGTAATGTAAACAAATGGAAGTGGCACGATCAATTTTATTCTGTAAGATATGGTTCATATATGTAATATCAATATATAAATATTTTATAACTCCATGAGTTATTATATTTATTATTGTGACAATAAAGGATTGCATGTGATATTATATATGTGTGGTACGCTTTTTATGGAGTAATAAATTTGAAAAATAATTAATACTCAATGCATGAGATTAATTAGTTGATTCCTTATACAGAAATTGCATGTACTTTCATGGAGTATGTTACGCATGGGAATAAGAAAATAACCATAATTGACTGTCAGTGTAAAAATACTTGTGTGCAATACTTAGTGCATGCATGGTTTTAGAATTGACTGTTGAGATCAATCTGAGATCTTAAAACTCATTTTGTGTTTGAAAGAGTTTGGTAAAACAAATGTTTTTCATTATGGTGGTCTAAGTTAAGGTGTTGGTTATTTGGTCCAAAGCCATTTTTGAGGCATTAGTAATTCCATGTGTGGAAAAGGATGAACATGATATTTCCCGTTGAGTTCTATCTTTTAGAAAATGAACTCTAGAGAGTTGGTCCTCTATGGAAATACAATCCATAAAGGGAATATGTTTTCTAGTGGACTAAGTTGGAGAATCGATTAAGGGAGAAAAAAAAAACAGACATTGGATAAGTGGTAGAAGTGGTAAGTGAGGCACCAATAGGTGACTTCTTCGCACATCATAGAATTGTCTATGAAGTGACTACCATGTACTTACATGAATCCAATCAGATTGTGAACTGGAAGATCACACATTGATGAAATGATAAATGCGATTCTCTAACTTGGGTATTATCACCCAAATGTGGGGAAGTTTCTTATCAAGTGATTACCTTGTTAAGGTATCGTGAAAGAAATTGTGACCACCCTATAAACGCTTGCGAGTGTGGGGGTCCAAATGAAGTAATGCAATTAAACACTTGCGAGTGTCAAAGTATCTTGGTATTGATACTTTCATTAAAGGCAATACAAATAAATCCTATTACGTTGGATTATATCTTTATGAGCCATGAGTATGTTACAATACCATGTAGTGGTTCTTTGTGTATATTTTGAATTTGTATTACAAAAGAACACTATGGTGCGATAAAAGGAATTTGTAATTCCTTTAGAAAGGAAATGGTTCAAGTTGAAGAACCAAGATATGGCTAGGAGCCAAATGAAAGTCATTTAAAGATGATTTGAATGAATTACGAATTTATGTTTATTCTTCTGATGAATTTTTTATGGAAGTCATAAAGAGTGTATCGATTCTTTTTGAAAAATTATACTTGGAAGTAAGTTTACTTCACGTAAGTAATCAAAGTAAATAAACAATGTGTTTGTTTAGATTACTTGATATGGATGCTCTCGTGATGAGATGAAGGATGTTTCCTTCAACGGGAAAATAGATACCGAGCAATATGAGGATGTCAAGCTCTAAATACAGATAATCTATGTATGCTTGGAACATGTCCAGAGATTACCAATAGAATGACAAGTCTAAGTTAATTGATGTCTGTGTGAGAGACATACTAAATTATCGGTAACTTGTCTATTTACATGTTAAATTTGATTTTAACAGATGTGATTTCCTGATGTGATTCTAGTTGTTAAAATCATATCTATGAAAAATGGTCTTATTTTGAGTCAAGCTCATTATATAGACAAAACTCTTGTAGAGTTTGAATGAGAATGATTCTAGAGTTGCTAGAACAACATGAGATGATATTCTTCGTTTATCCTAGTTATGTGGAAGGAGTACTACTTAAGTAGAATACTCAAGGATAATCGGAAGATTAATGCATCTAATGATTTGCACTAGACCAGATAAATGCTTATAGGGTAAGCAAGTGAAGTGCATACACGAGTAATAAAAGACTAAGGCGCTCGATTGCCATTGTTAGAGTACTAGAGTGCTTATGATATGCTCGTGTTAAGTTACATCATAGTAGATATCCAACTGTGCTAGAGCGCTACACATATACAAACTAGATATTGGGTGCCGATGACTCAAAAATGCACTAATGACTATGGATATGGTTGAATGGTAGCCTGGACATACGTGTCTTGAAAATCCCTAAAACTAGATTGTGATAGCTAGGTTGACAATGAAATCCGAATTGTGTATCGGATAGTTGTGAAACATAGGTTAAATGGTATCACTAGTTTTAAATAATATTTCAAAATGGGGATGATTGTGCCACTAATCTATTAATCATAGATGTGGAATGACACGTTGTCAATTGTATAATGGTAATTCCCGACACTATCTTGTTGTAGATACAGTATCATTATGCAAGTATTCTCAACTATAGAAATCTTAATTGACTACGTGAAGTCAAAAGATAACATTGCGGATCCGCTAACCCGAGGTTAAACAGAGCGATAGTTGAGAAAATGACAAAAGAAATGAGACAACTTGGAAAGAATATAAGTCTTTTGAAGGAAAACCCAACCTAGTTGACTGGAGATCCCAAGATCTAGGTTCAAAGGGACAACCTAATCTTAAGACTTGGTGTAGTCACTGTGGGGGTTATCTCAGCTCATTTCTGTCATGAAACAGTGATATAAAGGATGAGGATCACAAGTGATTGCTTTAATGTCTCTTAAGTGAGTAAGAACGTTTACTCTAGACTTATGAATTCACCTATCTAAGAGAGAAGTGGGGCCGCTTCAAAGGAGAACTGTTAAGGCTCAGTTCTTTAGAAACTCTTGCAGAACCAGGACGTGTTCATGGCCAAAATGAACAAAACTATGAGAACGGAACAAAATGGGAATAGTTCCTGTGTATTGTATGTGGGTTCTTTACACAATATAGCTGGACAGTTCAAGGACATCACGTGTACTGGACAGCTAGTAAAGCAAGCATACTTTACAAGGGGGGAGTTCAAAGGGTAACACCTACTTTCTCTTTACAGGAATCAGTTGATGAACATCAAATACTGAACCAGAAACAATTTCTATTCATGTGGGGGATTGTTGGAAATAAACTAAATATAGGTGTGAATGAGAATTTGTTTCTCATACGATTGGGAAGTTAGACATGAGTGTCAAAGAGAATATGTGGCCTGATCAATCACATTTTGTCATTCCAATCACTAAATGGAGAGATGTTACTTCCCATTGAATTTTGATATTCAATAGGAATGAATGTTTGGTTTAATTCAATTGAAAGGCAAAACCGTTGTAACGGTTTTAACCATTAAGTTAGTGCATTTAATTGAATTAAAAATATCTTAAGTGATATTGGGGCTCTCTCATCCTATATGTATTGCTTTATTTTCAAGAATCCAAGACTTAAAGAAAAATGAACCAACTTTCTCTTTTCTTCTACTATCCAAAATCCTCCTAACCTTCCTTGGTGTTCATCAAAGTCCTAGTTCATGTTCGCTGATGATTTAGTCTAAGTGGAAGACAAGATCATGTATCCGTTGTATCCTGGGAAACAGACTCTCTTACATCCTCTAGTATTCTGTGAGAGGGAGCGAATCTGTTTTAAGGAAAGCGTGTTTTCACGTGCCTCGGAATTTCCTCTTCTTGAATTTTTGTTGTCATTACAAATATCTCCCTATGCACTTTTCTAACACATAGCTCAGTTGTCGGACAGATTCTCACTGAAGGACTTGGGCAATCTTAGCTATTTTCTGGGGTGGAAACATTTCGCACTCCGAAAGGTCTCTTTCTTTCGCAGCAAAAATACATTTTGGACCTTCTTGAGAAAACTAAGATGTCGAACTCCAAAGACGTCAGCACACCAATGTCTCCATCCATTACTTTCAAACTGATCCATGGTTCTCCAAAGCATGATCCAACGGAATACCGCCAAGTCTTGGGTTCCCTTCAGTATTTATCTCTCACAAGGCCTGATCTTAGTTATACCGTAAATAAATTCTCTCAATTTATGCACAATCCGACCGCCAACCACTGGATAGCTGTGAAACGAATTCTTCATTACCTCAAAGGCACCTCTCATTATGGTTTATTTCTCTCTTCCGCTTCGCCTCTTACTCTTCATGCATTCTCAGATGCTGATTGGGCAAGTGACTTGGACAGTCGTCGGTCTACTTTTGCCTATGTGATTTATCTTGGTTCTAATCCTATCAGTTGGAGTTCACGGAAACAGTCTACGGTTGCAAGATCTCTGTATTTATCTTGGTTCTAGTCTAATCCTATCAGTTAGACTAGATTGTTATAGTATTCATTTAGACATCTCTGTATTTATATCATACAATAGACTCAATGGAAGATATCGAATTACCATTTTGTTAAAGCTACATCTCTCTCTCACTATTACTAAACCGTTTACTCCATCATCATGAAGGTTTTACAGTACTCTTAGAAAGCTTTGATTTCCTTAGGAATGGTGAGCTTGATGGCATTGTTGTGGCGTTTGCACAATGCTCTAGTGATCCAGCCTGGGAAACTTAGATCAATTATGAGGAAGCAAGGGATAAGAGGACCACCACCGACCCCTTTGTTCGGAAACATTTCGGAGATCAAGAAAGCTTGGTCCGCCCCCGCGAATGCTCCTCCCTTTTTCGATGTTCCAAACAAACACGACTGCGCGACTACAAGTATTAGTTGTTATGAGGCATGTTTATATTATCTATGGGAAATACACAAGTATTAGTTGTTACGAGGCAAGAGAGAGTGAAAGAGATGACGACTTGTACTGTCACTAAATTTCGGGAAACCTTCGTATCAAGCTAAAGAGCATAGTGCTTTTCTTGGTGATAGAATTTTCACATCCAATGGGACTCAATGGGCTCATCAGCGAAAAGTCATCTCACTAGAATTGTTCGTGGACAAAGTTAAGGTTAGTCATAGTATATACGCGACTTTTCTGTTCTAAAATAATTGTCACGTTTCATTAATTATGATAATTTTGGTCGCATCACTTTAAGTGTTTTGACTTTTTTTTGTTTGTTTTTTTCCCCTCAGGGAATGACGAAGCTAATTCAGGAGTCTGCCATGACAATTGTGAACTCGTGGAACAAAGTGATTGAGGAGAAAGGTGGGATGGCAGACATAAAAGTTGATCCTTATATAAGGCGTATGTCAGGAGATGTAATATCAAAGACATGTTTTGGAAGCAGTTATAACAAAGGTGAAGACATTTTCTCCAAACTCACTTCACTTGAGGACCTTTCAAAAAAAACACTTCACTTGAGGAAGCCACTTCTAAGAAGTTCTTGGCCATTGGTATTCCCGGGATGAGGTTTGAATTTTTTTTTATTTTCCCACTTTTTGCCAGTAAATTCCAAAATCCATCTCACTTATATTATCCATCAATCATTTTCCTTGCATGTTAATTCTTTTTGCCTATTAATTCTGAAATAGTCTCGATAACGTTCCACAAATCGATCTCACTTATATTAACTGTCAATCATTTTTATTAATGATAAAATTCATTTTGAAATACTCTATCTGTTCAAAAAAAAAAAAACGTAAAAACATTGAGAGTAATAAATTGGTAAAACCACGTTTGCTATTTCATTGATACACTGTAAAAAAAAATTTAAAATATTAAGTAAGAGGTAAAGAGCTCATATCATTAACCCCTCCTTTTCGTATTTGTAATTTTAAAAAAAATATATATGAAAACATTCTACAACGTTGTGCTCCAGTGCTTTATTTTAAACTTGAAATTTTCATATTCATCATTCCTTCCTTTTTCTTCATGCAATCCTGTATGGGCTCTATTCGAAATGACATATGAAAAACAAAAATAACAGCACTCTTCACCCATATTTTCTTATTATCAAGAAATGGGCCAATGATTCAAGAATAATTGGACCAAATGAGTCGAATTAATTTGAATCTATGAACATGAATTACTTCAGGCATCTTCCAACAAAAAGCAATGGGAAAACTTGGGCTCTAGCCAGAGAGATCAAAGAACTAATTCTGAATGTGGTGAATGAGAGAACGGATGCTGCGTACGAGAAAGATCTACTCCAAATGGTTATGGAAACTGTCAGAAACGAAGAATTCATTCGCAGCCATGAAGAACTCGATCGATTCATCGTCGATAATTGCAAAACCATTTACTTTGCCGAGTACGAAAGTACTGCAATTTGCGCAACTTCGTGTCTAATGCTCTTGGCCGCCAACCCGGAGTGGCAGGAACGAGTTCGTTCCGAGGTTCTCGACGCTTGCAGCGGCCAAGTTCCCGATGTCGAGTCCATCGGTACCATTAAATTGGTAACGCTACTTACTATATGTAACATTTTAATATTTCACTGAATTTCGATCTAACGCAATGTTATTGTATAAAAAGAAAATGAATTTTATTATAACCATTTTTCGCGTTTTTGTATGATTTTACAGCTAACTATGGTGATTAATGAGTCGTTGAGATTATACCCGCCCGCGACAATCGTGTCAAGGGAAGTGTTTAAAGACATGAAATTTGGAGACAATGTGATAACAAAAGGTGTCAATGTGTGGGCATTTGTGTTGACTTTACACACCAATCCTGAGATTTGGGGAAATGATTCTTATGAATTCAATCCACAAAGGTTTGCTGCTGGTGTTGCCAAGGCTTGCTAGTATCCACATGCATACAGACCATTTGGAATGGGACCAAGGATTTGTCTTTGTCAACTTTTGGCAACTATTATGCAGCTCAAGATTCTGATCGCTCTCATAGTGTTGCGATTTAGTTTTACTCTTTTCCCTACTTATATTCATTCTCTTGTCTTCCGCTACATTATTATTCCCCAGCACGGAATCAATTTGTGCTTTAAGAAACTCTTAATTGCAAAAAGATCATGTTAGAATGAATTAATAAATGAGAAACACAATCAAATGGTGTTTATGTTACTAAAGATTGAGTCATTGAGGACTAATAAATTTTTGGGAGAATTATTATTTAGGGCATAAAAAAACTAAAATTATTAAAAAGAGCATGCCTTTTATTACTAAAAATAAAGATTCTCTTATTGCTACTTTAATTGTTGAAAAGATTACTCTATCCTTTTTATTAAGCAAATAATTCCTTCCTCTAATCAAAGTTCTCAAATATTCATTTTCGCCTCCTTTTACGGAGTCATCCTCCGGCCTTCTCCGTCGCCACTACCATTCACTGCAGCAATCCCATCACCCACTTGGCATTTATTTTGTTTGATTAAAATCAATTCACTTAGAAACATACTCAATATGGGAAAAAAAAACAAAAAAAAAAAACTCAATCTTTTTTTTTGTTTTTTTTTAACGTTTGTCACCAAAGTCCGTTTTTGTTTTTCTTTTCAGTGAGTTGGCCTCAAAGCGGAAGTACGGATTTAAGTTTATTTCTTAGTTTCTATTTATTTTTGGTAGCATTGAATTTAGCTTGTGCTCTGTATGAGAATAAAGGGGGTATTAACTGTTGAAGAGGGGGATGAGCATTGGTGTTTATTGATTCCCGAAAAGCAAAGAAAAAAAGAGAGCAAAAGGCATGACAATTTGTGCAGATATGGAGAAGTTCAAAAAAATCTGGCAAAAATTGTTGGCTGCGAAACCCTCTAAAATTCAATTATGTGGAGAAAATACGTAATATTTATGAAGTTAGAAAGGTAAAGTAGTCTTTTTTCAGCTAAAGAAACATTAAAAATGCTTTTAATGCTTATTAAAAAACCAGTGCCCTTAATAATAATTTTTGTTCTTCCAACGCCCCTAATGAAAATTTTTCCTAAATTTTTTCTTCTTCTATTTCTTTTTTTTTAAAACAAATGTATTTGCCTATTAGAGATTGAATGAATTTTCCGCGAGCAGAGTAACTGAGGTTGAGTTAATACTTGAAACGTTAGCTTTTTTGTTTTTTTAATTTGTTTTTTTTTTGTTTTTTTTTTTTTTTGTTTTCTTGTATACTTGAGGGGATAATCAAAATTGCAGTTTAAGACATGGTGTACTTAATGTTATTAGATTTCGATTAATAGCTAGTGACTACTTTATAACCTAAAGTAATTATTGGCCAAAATTCAATTTCCCGACTCCCATTGCCCTAATGAGATGGTTGATTTGATTAATTGAGTCATAAAATATTCACTATACTGTACTTCTTCCTCAAGAGGTTGTAAGATATGATAATTTGAAATACCTATGTGGGCATGCAACAATCCGTCAAATTTAGACATAACCAAACAAGGTTTTCTGCATTCCATACTTGAGCCAAGTCTATTCAGAATACTAATACATACGTTCTAATTCACATATGTAATCATTAATTTTAGTTACTTTCACCCGGGAAAGTAGTGTTCTTCAAAAGGTAGCCACGATTGATGGTTAGGGTTCAGTTTCTTGCAGGCCTTTTAAGTTCTAGATTGGCAAATAATGATACATACGAAGAAAAATTTTCAAGGAAAAATGACAAGAAAATGATCACACCCAATCATTTTTTAAAGCTTTCTATTTAAGGTTATGATATAGTTTAGATAATTGACACATCATTCCTTGTAATTTTTCTTATAATTTTTTCTTTACATGTATCACTACTCTTATAATCAATATTTAGAAAATAGTTATTTTCATCCCAAATCTTAAACTTTTCCAAGATCAGCATTGCATTTTTGTTTTACTAATTACGTCTTAATAGTGAAAAATAGACTAATTAAATAGTGGAATGGTTGATTTAATCGATTTGTATTTCTTTTAACCTCTTTGAATTATTGTTCATATCTTTGTTGATTTTACAAAAAAAAAAAAAAATTCTCCGTTATAAATAAAATGATTGGCCAGTTCAGAATTTTTTATTTTAAAAATAAAAATTTATATTAAACAGTCATTTCAGAATTGAAAAAATATGTATGATAGACAACATGACATTGTTCATGGTCTAAACGAATGTAGTATGATTATACAATTAATACATATATTGACATCCGCGAGAAGGTACAAACGATACATGGGTCTTCTTATTACAAAACAAATTTATGTTGCAAACTCAAGGTAACCCGTGTTTTTACCGCAAATATATACTACTTCCTACGTCCAGAAAAAATGATTGTTGAGTTTGAATTTTTATTTTTAGTATAATTTTTACAAAAAATAAAATTTCAAATTGGACAATAATTTCGGAAGGGAGGAAGTATGATTATATATACAACTATCTACTTCTTTAGTCCAAAAAAAAATAATCAACATTGAGTTTTGAGATTTATACTCTTTATAGTAAGAATATCAAAACTCAACATAAATTATTTTTTTTGGACGAAAAGAGTATTTATTAACGCCCACTAAGGGTCCAGAACATGTAAGCTGGTATACATTTCAATGAGTCGAATGATTTTTTTTTTAAACAATTCTCGTACAAAAATAATACACTAAATCAAAATAATTTATGTAGTTAAATATTTTTTTGTTGGTGGGGGAAGTAATAAAATGTAACGAAAAGGAAAAAAACGACTCCAGCTGTCGTCGGAAAATGTCAGGCATTACTAATTTACGAGTATTGTTTTTAATTTAAATAAAGAAAAGGGACTTTTATATAATTTAAAAAAAACTCTAACTGTTTATAGCTGGGCAATTTTTGTGGGGTCAGTCAATAAGAGAGGAAGAACGGTTGACTGAAGTGGTTCTATATATATTTTCACTCTTCAGAATACTCCTCACTCTGTTTTCTCTCGCACTCCTTTTTCCCTCTCTGTAATCTTCTTCGCGAATTAGGGATTTCAAAGAAAAATGACAAATCACACTTTACATTTCAGGGACATAGTTAGATAATTGACACATCATTTCTTGTAATTTTTTTTCTAATTTTTTCTTTGCACATATCATTACTCTTAATATAAATAATATTTCGTCCCCAAGAAAACCTTATTCATGTAATAAGCTAAGTGGTTGTAATCTATATTTGAAAAAGAGTTACTTTCATCCCAAATCTTAAACTTTTCCAAGATTGGCATTGTATTTTAGTTTTATTATGTACTCCCTCCGTCCCATAATTATTGTCCACTTTGCCTAAAAAATTTTGTCCTAAAATTATTGTCTAATTTGATTTTTTATGGATCAACTTACACATTTGTCCTTAGTAAAAAACATTATCTATAAAATCTTAGTGGTTAAACAATTACTTATGTAAGGGTTTATCCGGTTGTTTAAGGTAAAATATAGTTAAGTTTGACCAAAAATAAAATCTTTCATTTTAGTAAAACTGGACAATAATTATGGGACGGGGGAGTAAGTCTTGAACGTGAAAAATAGCCTAATTAAATAGTGGAATGATTTATTTAATTTATTTGTATTTCTTTAAACTCTTTGAATTATTTTTCATTTCTTTTTTTTTAAAAAAAAATCTCCATTCTAAATTGATTGTCTAATTTCAATTTTTTTTATTTTTTAGTACAAATTAAACTAAAAATGAAAAACTATATTAAACAATCATTTCGAAAATGATAAAATGCGCATGATAAACACCATGATATAGTTCATGGTCTAAACGAAATCAGTATGATTATGCATCTAAAGAATATATTGATATCCGTGAGAAGGTACAAATAATCGAACATACATGGGTCTTTTTATTACAAAACAACTTTATGTTGGAAACTCAAGATAAGCTGTGTTTTTACCACAAATACATACTAGTTCTTATGTCCAAAATAATTGTTCGGTTTGGAATTTCATTTTTATTACAATTTATACATAAAGTAAAATTCTAAATGGGACAATCATTTCGAAATGTAGGAAGTGTGATTATATATATACAACTAATCTACTTCCTTAGTCCCACCACCGAAAAAAAAAGATCTACATTGAGTTTTGAAATTTGTATTGTTTTTAGTATAAATTTTAAAACTCAGCGTGGATTTTTTTTGAGACGAAAAGAATATTTATTAAAATCCACTAAAACACTAAATCAAAATAATTTATATAGTTAAATACTTTTTCATTGGGGGGGGGGGGGATAATAAAATGTAACTCAAAGGAAAAAAAAAAAAAAACGACTCCAGAGTCCAGCCCAAAAGTCAAAACCATCGTAGGTAAATGTCAGGCATTACAATTTTACAAGTATGATTTTTAATTTTAATAAAGTAAAGGGACTTCTTATATAATTTAGGAGAACTCTAACCGTTTGCACCTGAGGTGGGGACAGTCAATGAGAGAGGAAGAACGGTTGACTGAATTGGTTCAATACTTCTATATGTATTTTCACTCTTCAGAATACTCTTCTTCACTCTGTTTTCTCTCGCACACCTTCCTCCCTCTCTGTAATTCATCTTCTTCGCGAATTAGGGATTTCAATTAGGGTTTGGAAGTAGAAACCGTTCCAAAGAATCCATTGTGTTTTTTTGTTGTTTCGAGAAAATGGGAAGACGAATTACAGGCAAGATGGCCTAGAAGAACAGAAGGAAGAGGATGGAGAAGAAGTACAGAAGAAGAAGAAGAAGAGCAAGGAGATTGCGTCAAGAATCTGAAGTTCATCAGCCTGAAGGTGAATTGAATGAACCAGGAGAAGAAGGGGTTCATGAACCTGAACCAGATGAAGTTGATGATGAAGTTCAGCCTCAATTTGAATTCAATGTCCCCGGAGAAGAAGGGGTTCCTGAACCTGAACCAGATGAAGTTGATGATGAAGTTCAGCCTGAAGATGCACCGAATAACCAAGAAGAAGAAGGGGCTGATCCCAATGGGAGATGATGATAATGTGGAGCAGGAAATGGGAGAAGAAGAAGATGGGCAGGAGGAAAATCAAGAAAACGAAGTAATTGAACGGCCGGAAGAAAGTCAAGAACCAGTTGAAGGGTCATCTCCGGCAAACCCAGAAGCAGAGCAAGAAGGCCATCCAGTCAAAGATGAAGATTCCCCCAATTCCTCTGAAGTTGCTTCTCAGGGAAAATTCCGATGATGGGCCCAAAGAAACAGAGGATTTTGAGCGTCAATTTGATCGGAATCCAGGGAAGAGGCCAATGAGAGAAAAAGAAGAAGGACTTAATCGTTCTGGTCAACACGGGTCGAAGGATCGAAAGCATCATGTTGATCAATCTGGAATGGTGATCAGAACGGCGCCTAATGGTGATGGTAATTAATCAACACCAATCAATAACTGTTCTTGAATCAAGTTCCTTCTCAATTTTCTGAGAATTTAATTTCCCCCCACAATCCATATTTCTTCTGCAAAAAACAGGGGATGATGATGGCCACGATCAAGGAACAGTGGGAGTTCATCATTCCGATCCTGATCATCAATCCGCGTTCTTGGTAATCCATTCATTAAAGCTTCTTTCTTTCTCAATTAATTAATGCAAATCTTTTAGCCGAGTTTCTTTGTTCTTAGTGTAACGATGGAAGTTCACCTGTCAATTTCTTGTGGCTGATGGTTTGTTTTTTGTATTGCTAGATTATCTATACACCAGAGGTGGTGTAAACATAGGCCAGGTATAAACATCAAATATTTCACTTCTGATCCTGCTGACAAAGCTTCTTCTTCTGCTGCTGCTTTCAAAGGTACTGCGAGTTTTTTCTACCTTTCTGAAGGAATTACAGTCTGATGATCAGCTAGAATCAAAGCAAGATCAGCAGCATGATGTGCATTTTGTAACTGGTGATGCTCATCCTGTGCCCATGGATGTGCATCCAGTGATAATAGCGAGAATTCCAGATTCAAACATTCAAACTTGTACATGTGTTTGTACTGATATATCCTCTTTTATATAGTGCTATAAGCCTGTTAGTAAGGATAGATTAGTCATTTACACTATGGTGGTTACTCAACTCAAACCGCCTTAACATGTATAAATACAAAATCAGGATACTTAATGGGACATATTTTCAGACACCTTAAACGCGTTTCTTTTAATTCCCAAATTTGTTCATTCTATTCACTCAAACCCTAAGAACATTTGTGAGCCAAATCTCGCTCATGGTATTAGAGCAGGAGTAATCCTGCCTGATCTGAGCCGAGAAATCACTACTTCTAGTCTTTCGCTGCAAAATCTCACTAGAATTTGAAAAATGGAGCCGATTCGAGTTGGATCGATGCGCAGTGAAGATCTTCGAGCAGACGTGCTTGAAGCTGCAATTGTCGTGCAAGAATTGGAGAAATGGATCAAGGAACCTCAAGACAGAGGAATGAAGATCGGGAAATGGAGCTGTTCATGGAAGAGCAGTTGCAGATTTATAGATCTGACTCCTTTGACAACATCTAATTACTTGATGTGGAGAATGGCAATGATAACTGCTCTCAATGCTAAGGCTAAGTTAGGATTTATTGATGGAACTTGTAAGAAACCACCAGAAAACACAATTGCTTTTCGTTGGTCTAGAGCAAACAGTATGGTAAGGTCTTGGATATTGAATGCTATTGAACCTTCGCAAGTCAGTAGTTTCATGTATATTGAAGATTCTAAACAGCTTTGGGATATTATAGCTATTAGATATGGGAAGATCACTGGATCTTTAGTCTATCAACTTAGACGAGATTTGGCTCTTATTAGTCAAGGAGACTTGAATGTGATTGAATACTATAACAAGATCAATAAGCTATGGGATCAATATAATCAATGGCGATCTCCAATTTCATGTACTTGTGCTGGAAAGAAACACTTTGATGACAGAGATGCAAAGGATAAAGCATATCAACTGCTTATGGGGGTTAATGATTGCTATGACTCCATCAGAAATGAGATTCTTAGGATGAATCCACTGCCTGATGTGGATACTATATTTGCAATGGTGTTAAAAGAAGAAACACAGAAGAATGTCAGTACAAGCATGATCATCAAGTTGGAAAACACTGCAATGATGGCAAAGATCAAAAACAATATGGGAAATCAGGCCGGTCTCTTACCTAAACAAATAGCTCCAACACAACAAGTCCAACAAAACAAGAAAGCAGAAGCAAACCTCAAGGAAATGAAAATGCAGTCTAAGAAAGAAAAGATGAAGTTGTACTATAATCACTACAAGAGGAATGGACATTTAAAGGAAGATTGTTTTCTGCTAGACGGATTTCCTGACTGGTGGGAAACACAAAAGGGACCCAATCATACTAAAGCTCATACAGCACACTTGGTGGATACTCCTCTTGAGTTGGAAGCTCCACATAAGGCTTTTTGGACACAGAGTTCAGAAGCAGTGCATCATTGGTCACCACAATAATCTGGAAGTTTGCAATTGCATGGTCAAGAGAAAGGCAACTGGCAGAACATTTTATCAAGCTTGGTACAAACAAAGGTTGGTAAGCTCCTGAAGGGAAAGGGACCAGCACTTGAAACAGGATTAGGATTGTCAGTCATTGCCGCCAATCATAAACAAATGTGATTTGTAGGTAGCTCAGTCTAAAAATTATAGTAGTGTCTACTTTCTCCTAAAAATATTTTATTTTTTTAAAAGAAAAATATAGATTGCACATGAATACTTTTTGTAGTAAAATAATATAATTTGTGTTGGACTCGTTTTACGTACTTTCATTATGTCAAAATAATTGTCATATTATCTTCTACATTGTAGTAAAAATTGTTTTCCCATTTGATGTTTTCATTTCAGTTAGGCTGTTATGTGAATCGAGTGAATCGAGTTGAATTAGAGCAGTTCATGAGCGTTTAATCAGCTATCGCTTGAATCAATCCTCAATTAATCTTGCAGCTGCTTTTGAACCAGCAGCTGAGCAGGACTTTTCAGTTTTCAGTATTACCAATCTGTTGGGTCTAAGAACAATCTTTTCAGTAATGATGATGAACGTCGAGCTCTAAACTGCCAACTTTCTCCATTGACTCAATTTATCGGTGTTCAGTTTTTAGAAGTATTGTGATCTCTATCGATACTTTATGTCCTTAGCGAGTACATATCACACTTAAATTAATTTTCATTTGAAGAAAAAACACATATCACACTTAATTAATTTCCTTTTGAAGAAAAAGAACATATCGAAAACACAACAAAAAGGGCATTTTGTCCAACAATCAATAGAAGCAGCTTAAAGAAACAATTCAAAACCACACATAATCTAGTAGCATTCGCCACCGCCTGTCAAGCACCCAGTTCTGGGAGAGGCTACTCAACATACACGGCAGAAAACTACGACATACAAAACAAAGCACACACAAAACTACTGCAGATGCATATGCAGCAATAGAGAAAAATAAAGAGAAGTTACTAGACATTTTATTGTAGTAGTAGGTTTGTTTTAGAGAAAGGGCCGCTTGATGCTGCACGGTTCATTTGGCACCTTTCTTGACAGCGGCCTTGGTGACTTTCGCTCCAGTTGGATCCTTCTTTTCAACAGCTTTGATCACACCAACAGCAACAGTCTGACGCATGTCCCTGACAGCAAAACGGCCAAGAGGTGGGTACTCGGAGAAAGTCTCCACCACCATGGGCTTGGTGGGAATCATCTTCACGAAACCAGCATCACCATTCTTCAAGAACTTGGGCTCCTTCTCAAGCTCCTTGCCAGATCGCCTGTCAATCTTAGTCAAGATCTCAGAAAACTTAACAGCAATGTGAGAGGTGTGGCAGTCAAGAACAGGGGCATATCCATTGCCAATCTGACCAGGGTGGTTCATGATGATGACTTGGGCAGTAAAGGTATCGGCTCCCTTGGCTGGATCATCCTTGGAGTTGGATGCAACGTAACCACGCTTGAGATCCTTAACAGCAACGTTCTTCACGTTGAACCCGACATTGTCACCAGGAAGTGCCTCCTGGAGTGCTTCATGATGCATCTCAACCGACTTAACTTCAGTTGTCAGACCAGTAGGAGCAAAGGTCACAACCATACCGGGCTTAAGAATACCAGTTTCAACACGACCAACAGGGACCGTTCCAATGCCACCAATCTTGTACACGTCCTGAAGTGGAAGTCGGAGTGGCTTATCAGAAGGCCTCTTGGGCTCCTGGACCATGTCTAGGGCCTCAAGGAGAGTTGGACCCTTGTACCAATCAAGGTTTGTAGACCTCTCAATCATGTTGTCACCCTCAAAACCAGAGATGGGAACAAAGTTGATCTTGTCAGGGTTGTATCCAACCTTCTTCAAGTAGGATGAGACTTCCTTCACAATTTCATCATAACGTGCCTTGGAGTACTTGGGGGTGGTGGCATCCATCTAATAAAAAGAACACAAGTCAGAGATTTAAAAAAAACAGGATATACTAAAATCAGTAATGATATTCATGAAATCCCATTCCCATTCAAAGAGAATCACCTTGTTACAGCAGCAAATCATTTGTCTGACGCCAAGAGTGAAAGCAAGCAAAGCATGCTCACGAGTCTGACCATCCTTGGAAATACCAGCCTCAAAACCACCAGTGGTGGAATCGATAATAAGAACAGCACAGTCAGCCTGAGAGGTACCAGTAATCATGTTCTTGATAAAGTCACGATGTCCAGGGGCGTCAATGACAGTGCAGTAATACTTGGTAGTCTCAAACTTCCACAAGGCAATATCAATGGTGATACCACGCTCACGCTCAGCCTTGAGCTTATCAAGCACCCAAGCATACTTGAATGACCTCTTGTTCATCTCAGCAGCCTCCTTCTCGAATCTCTCAATCACACGCTTGTCGATACCACCAAGCTTGTAGATCAAGTGACCAGTGGTGGTGGACTTGCCCGAGTCGACATGACCAATCACAACAATGTTAATGTGAACCTTTTCCTTACCCATCCTTGATTGATAACCTGAAAATCAGGAGCGACAGATGTTAATATGATGGTTAGTTCAAGATCAATCAACCTTTAAGCACATGAAAATTGACAAATCCAGAAAGTCTTCAATTCACAACAAAGACAAAAATATCGTCCACCAATGAGAACCCAAATCAACCATATTTAATGAACCATATAACTAATTATCATTATGTCCAGCCTGTGATCATTATGGTGAAATCCTTCTGTTGCAGAGTGAAACCAAGGGCATAAATATTTATCCTTAACCAAACACGATCAATTGATTTCAAGCTATTCATAAAAAAGGCCCCATGGAAATCCAACCTTTGTCGAACCAAATTAACCAATGAGTTCAAAAGCTTCATAAAAGTGGTAACGTATAAAAACACCAATAATCAACACAGATTGACTCCAATCGGCTGATGAATCAAATACTTATTTCAAACTTCCGTGATCTATAACTTTTAAATTCCTAATTAAAAAAAAAAACGAAATTCATGCGCACGAAAAACATCTGCTTCATCATAAAACTAACTCTAAAACCACCAAAACTCAAAACCACGAACCAAGAACAGATACTTAATAATCGAAACAATTAAAAGAAAATACCGAACAAAAAGGAAAAGGAACAACATACAATTGAAACAAACAAGCAGACTGTAATCAGACACTTCACAGATAAACGAAATCAAAAGTTTAGCATAGAATTGAATACAAGGAACAAGCTTCTAACCTTAAGCGGCAAAGATAATTCAGGTCGAGAGGGAAGCAGACAACAAACGCGCTCGAACAATGAAGCTACCGCCGCCTCGCTGGATTTTTCTAGCTTTTAAAAATTTGTGAGTTTTTCTTTTGACGACAATTTAAATAGGCCTGCTGGAATCCCAAGGTTTTTCTTCTCCTATTAGTATTATGCCACTTTGGAAGGGTTATTTTGGAAATTTTCAGTACTTGGCGCGCACTGCACGGGGATTAATTATGACTTTTCCGTATTTGATTATACAATTTTGGGGGAGAATCTTGGTCTCCTCCACCATTAATCAATTAATTAATTCATTAGTTTTTTTTTTTTGGTACTCACTCCATTCTGAAATATAAATCGCTGAGAGATTTGCGTATAGTTTAAGAATCTATTGATTATAGTGTTTCATTTACCGAATTTACCTCTTAACATTCTTCTACTGTAATTCTAACTCTTATCTTAAATATACTTCTATTTCTTTTATCGAAGGAAGCAAAATAAAACGCAGCTTCTCCATCACCGCCAATCATAAACAAATCTTGTGATAGCTCATCATTATAAACTTCTCAATCTTATTTTATACAATTCGATCTTTCCTAATGAGTTAACAAAAAAAAAATAATAATAATAATTGGTGGTTGATTCTCTTCTCATCTAGACTCTGTGTGAACCTTTTTGGTTATTTATTTTCTCTGCCATGAATTGGATGGGAGATGGTGTAAAGGTACAATCTTGGCTCTATGTGGAACTTTTTTGGCTGTTTATTTTTTCCGCATGAATTACGTGGGGATGGTGTAAAGGTACAATCTTGTGTTTGCTTGGATTATTTTGCTGCCGCCGTCGGTGACTGTTGGTGGGATTGGTGAGCGAAGAAAAAATCTTGGCACTGCTGGATTTTTCAGAATCAAGGACTGTTCATTAATGTCTTATTCTTCAAAGGGTATTCTTGGAAAAAAATAGTCAAATTTGCCTAGATATATAAGAATGACTTATATTTTAGAAAATTCTTATCTTCCTCGAACGACTTATCCTTATTCTTATACTTAATATAAAGTCACAGTAGGCAAGAAATTAAATGCCCAAGAAATATTCAAGGACCACCTTCAAAGCGATTTCGTCCGTCGGATGGAGTTGATATGACATCAGCGACTTATTAAGGACAAAATCGAAATTTCATAAATACAGTTTCTCACTAAATTTTAAATTTAAAACCGGAAGCTTTTAATACAGTTCCTCACAATATTAAGTCACTTACTAGGGGCAAAAATGAAATTTCACAAATTCTGTGTACGGTTTGGTTCGTTTTTTCGTTCATTTTTTCAGAATTTTTAGTTAATATCTATCCCATCCCAGCATACCTTTTTACATTCCCAATACACCTTTGTAGATTTCCAATATACCTTTTTATATTCCCAATACAAAAAAATACACTCAGCGACTTATTAGAGGTAAAAAAAGAAATTCATAAATACATCCCAATCCAAAAAAAAAAATAAAAAAAATCTGTAAGCTCTTGAGAAAAAAAACCCTAATCATCCAAAAAAATGACGTCGTTTTTGCTTCTCCGTGAGATTTTGTGGTGAAAAACCCCAACCGATAAAATGACATCGTTCTATACTTCTCACTAATCATAACAAAATCCCTCATTTACCCTCGTCATCCACCTTGTCTGCCTCACCCAGAAATATTTATATAAAAGAAAAACCCAAAAGGTTCCGCCTCCACTGCCACCTAAAAAAACTCGACGTTCACCTCATCTTTCTCTCCAAAAAAGAAAAAAAAACTAAGACAATGCTTTCTCTGCCTACACTGGCAGCCATCACCGTTCGTTGTTCTCCTTATTACCACAAAAACCACATTCGGTATCAGATCCATTACGTCGAGCCGCCGAACGAGAACAACGACATCAGTTGTCGAACAACCATCTTCACTAAAATTGAGCTTCCTCTGAATAAGAAGAAAACAATCGCCAAATTTTTCAAGTAATCGAACTTGGCAGCGTTGTCAGAATTAAGAATTCGTGTCTACGAATATAGATTTAGAATACAAATCAAAATTTATGAATCTAGATTTGGAATACAAATCGAAAATTCTCCGAATTTGTATACGGATTAGAAATCTATGAGTCGGGCTCTTCTCCTTCAAGTTGAAGTCTCTTACGCATGAATAAGCTAGATTAACAACACCGGATAAACTCGGACTACCGGTTGCAGCAAACTTCATCCAACACCTCTTCTTCCACTTCTTTTCCGATCCATTAAGGTATCTTTCTGATTGATTCAGCTATTATTGTTATTTTTAATATGTTTTCTTAGTTCCTTTTCTACTTCATTTTCTCCACAATTATTGTAAGCTTCTTTTGATTAAAAAACTATTCTATTATTTGGGTTGTTATGTTTTTGTGTAACATCGTTTTTTCTCATATGTGCTATGAACTTTTTACAGTTGTTAATCGTTATTGTAATTCCAAAAGATCCTCCTTTTATGTTTTTCGTTTAGATTCTGTGGATTGCGCCCTTTTAAGCAAATGGAGGGCTTCTCAGGGGGACAACCAGGTGGTGGTTTTTAAGCAGATTCTGTGAATTTGGCGGATGGCATCTTTCTGCTTACCATCGACGACAACAACCGCTGCCTCTCCTTCAACCTACGCCGCTGCGCGGTGCTCTACAGGATCAGCTTCAAACACCACGTCGCCATCGCCAAATTCAGCCCCGACGGCAAGTTTATCGTTGTAGCTGTTGGTAAGCTCCTCCAAATTTGCCGCTCCCCTGGGTTTAGAAAGGAATTTTTCCGGTTTGAGTTTATTAGGACATTTTTAAAAAATTAGAATTTAATTTTTCTGATATTCACAATTTAAAGCATCTATAATATTTGGTCCGAGTAGGTAGGCATTACTTTCATCTGATATGTTGCCTTTCAATAAGGAAAATGTACTTCTTTATGTATTGTGGAGATTACGAAAGAGTTGATAGTTCATCATTCGTCTTATGCAGGAATTAAAAGAGAGGATTTTGAAATTTGTTGTGCTGAATTCTTACATTGTGGGCACACAGGAATCATGGTAATTTGCACTCCCTATATTATCATTTGATAAAGATTGGTAGACCATAATCTTTTGAGTTTTACAGGTCAGTTTGCCCTGAAAATATTTTTTATTTTGGTTCAAAGCTGCATTAACATTGGTAGGTATATCTACATATGTGTGCATATCCATAAGATTTTTTGTCATCTTCTATCATCATATTTGATATTTTTGTCTTTTATGGTTTTAATGGTCAATTTAATTCGGTTTCATAAATTTAAAATTTGATGGCTAGTTTGGTCCCAATTGGTGTGGTTTACTCCTTTGGTTTTGAATTTCTTGGATATCAATTTAGTTTAGTAGATTAGTGCATACTTTTATAATCAACATGGGTCGTTAAGTTCTTTTCTTATTCTTTAGGCACAATTTACTTAATTCGTATGGGTTCTCTATCGTGACCTTATTCTGCGACTTTGGATTGATCTTACCTGCTAAATTTACTAAATTTATTGCTATCCTACTAAGTGATTTAAGATTTCCTTTCTGTGTTGCATGGGTCGTTAGGACTTAGCAAATATATGTTTGCTTTGGGCAATATCGTTTCTTTGATCTAGAATTATTGTTTTTATAGTCAATTCATCCGGTCATACATATCCCATTTTTGGAACCAAGTGATATGTTGCTCGGGGGGGGGGGCAAGGATTGGCATTCTGTACGAGACGTCGTTCACAGGTAGATATAAATATTCATTATTCAGGTGGAATCTGGGACGTGTATGTTACTCTCCTGAATTGTTGTGAGGTGTATTGCTGGAATTAAAGAACGCGACATAGATGAAATGATTTTATCTGGTTTTTTCATTAATTATTTCTGTTACTTTGCATCATAAATTCTAAATTTCTATTGAATGAACTGTTTGTTGATTCTGCATTATTGCAGGAGAACCTTGCAAGGTGTTCCACTGCGACTTAAGAGCAAGTCATTTCTTGATAAGAATATTGTCGTTGAGCATACCGTGACTTTTTTCTTGCCAATACGTGAAGCAGAAAATGAATACCTTTCTTCTAATGCTCTAATAATATTTTTTGGATGGTTTTTACTAATGATTTGATATATAATTACCTATTTGATTTTTGTTTGACGTGGGCTTTCTATGTTTGCACTCCAAAAATTCGTAGATCATGTTGGAGAATTGTTGCAGGAGTTTGTTGATCGATGGAAACAAGTATGATTG